TCTTCCTTCCATGGAGTGACTGGTGAGTTTGAACCACCAACCTTCTGGTTAGCAGTCAAATGCCTTAGGCGTATCGTCACTTTATGTCATCTCTTATCTAATCCACTTTATCTCATTACCAATCTCTGTCCATAAATGTATTGTCTTCTTTTCAGACCTTTTCAATACCCACAAGCAATGCCCTACACTTCTAGAGTAGTTTCTTTTTCCTCTACTTCTCTGTCTCTCATACGGAGAGTAACCAAGCTTTCTTGGGTAATTCTTTCTTTCTTTCTTTCTTTTTTGTTTGCTTAAACGCAAATTTATTATCTGATGGAGGTCAAAAGCCCTAAAACAAAGGTGCCAACTGGGCTGAAATTTCTTCTGAAGGCTCAGGGAGAACTGGTTTCCTCACCTTTTCCATTTTCTACAGGACACCTGTATTACCGGGGTCATGGCTCCTACCTTCATCTTCAAGACCAGCAGTATAGTATCTTTAAAATCTTTCTCTCTCTCTCTTTCTGACTTCTGCTTCTATAGTCACATCTCCTACTGTAATTCTGACCCTACTGTCTTCCTCTTAAAAAGATTCTTGTGATTAAATATTATCCATCCCAATAATCCAGCATAATCTCCCCTTCTCAGTATCCTTAATTTAATCACAGCTGCAAAGTGCCTTTTGCTATGTAAAGTAATATATTCCCAGGTCCCAGAGATTAGAGCTTAGACATCTTTCAGTGCCATTATTTTGGCCTACGACATAGAGATTATGTGACTCAAGTTAAGCCAATGAGACTTCTTGTTGTTATTGTTGATAGATGCCATTGAGTCCATGCCTACTTATAGTGATCCTATGTAAAAGAGAATAAAAGAATAAAACGCTGCCCAGTCCTGCACTATTCTCACAATTGTTGCCATGATTGAGCTCATTATTGCAGCCACTGTGTCAATCCATTCCCTTCCTTTGCTGACTCTTTTCTTTACCAAGCACAATCTCTTTCTCTAGGAATTAGTCCATTCTGACAACATGACCAAAGTAGGTGAGATTAAGTCTGGACATTCTTGCTTCCATGGAACCTTCTGGCTGCATTTCTTCCAGGACAGATTTGTTAGTCCTTCTGGTAGTCCAAGGTATTCTTCACCAACACCACAACTCAAGAGTATCAACTCTTCGGTCTTCTTTATTCATTCTCCAGCTCTCACACACATATGAGACAATTAAAAATACCATTGCTTTGGTTGGATGCACCTTAGTCTTGAAAGAAACATCTTTGCTCTTCAGCATTTGAAAGAGGTCTTTTGCAGCAGATTTTCCTAGTGCAATACGTTGTCTGATTTCTTTTTCTTTTGCTTTTTTTTTTTTTAAATTGAGATTTGGGTGAAAATTTACAAAGTAAATTCACTTTCCATACAGCAGTTCACATACACTTTGTCTCATGACATTGACTACAATTTACCCCAATGCAACAGCTCCCCTCTCACTTCCTTCCAATAATTACCTCTTTTCTGTGTCCATCCCTCCATGCCCTCCTGCCCCCTGAGCTGTCTTCCTGTGCATTAACAGTCCTTCTTTCTATCATGATTGTTCTGTCCAAGAAGTGTGTCTATCTCAGGTAAATGTTCAGTTCATATGGCTATCTTTTGTTTGGCTGAAAGCCACAGGTATGGGTTCAATTCCAGACCTGAAGGGCAGCTAGAGGCCATAGTCTCAGTGGTTCCACCTGGCTCTATGAGACCAACAAACCTGATCCCTCCCCTTTACTTTTCCCCCAAATGATTTTAAGTTTTGTTCCACTGGCAATGCCTTCTTAAAAGACTTTATCTTCTCCTACCCCTAACTTTGAAGAGAAATGAGGGAATTGGCTTTTTTCCTCTAACCATGTCTTCTCATCACTGCTCTAAATGTAAAGTTAGTATTATTCATTGTTTTTTTTCCACACACTTCTAATAACCCCAAATCTTACATTCTCCTTTACAATTCACATTTACCTTTCTAGATGTTTCATTGATTACCTAACATTTTTTCATCAAACTGTCTATTATCTTTCTTTGAAACTTAAGCTGTATTTGTTATTATCAGAAAGAAAATATAGTGGTTAAGAAAATGAATTCTGGAGTCACACCACCTGGATATGAATTCTGGCTCTACCACTCCCTGTGTTAAGGTAAATTAACATCTTTGTGCCTTAGTTTCCTCATCTGAAAAATGGGGATAATCATATCATCTACACTGTTGCTATAAGCTGCTGTCAAATCAGTCACCAACTGATGGCAACCTCATGCACAATGGAATTGGACTGTTGTGATCCATAGGGTTTTCATTGACTGATTTTCGGAAGTTAATTGCCAGGTCTTTCTTCCTAATATCAATGTTAGAAGGATTACATGAGTTAAAATACTTAAAATGGTGTCTGGCACATAGAAAGTACTTTACAATGCCTTTATCTATTTCAGTGGAGCTTCAAAACTAAGACACATTAGGAAGAAATGCCTGCAGAAAAATCAGTCAATGACAACCCTATGGTTCACAACGGTCTGATCCCCTTGGGCATGGGATTGCCATGGTAGGTCCAGTTCAGTGGAAGCTAACAACAACAATTGCTGCCTTTATCCTTGGTAACATTAATATTCTTGTTGACTCTCCTGGCTTTCAACTTCTGGCCATATTGTATCAACACATAGACCTTGACCCAGCTTATCACAAATGATTACTTTAAGATGTCAAACCTGGTATTTCTCTCCAAATATAAAAGTCCTTTCCAGTCATATTTCTTATTTCTGAAACCTCTCAGAAGTTTTTATTATCTTAAATCACCAATTCTCTCTCTTAATTCACCTAAACATTAGCAACTTAATGTTCTCACCTTAAGTCTCACAGTTTCCTAATATTCAACTCTAGTTCTTCACTCTTTGAATACATACACACACACACACATATAGAAGTGATTCTCAATACATATGTTTATATCATCCATATCTTAAATAACTAAATAAAATTAATATTTTTCATGAAGTGTTTCCCTACACATTCTACATCCCTCTCCTCCTCAAGTACACAAACTCATAAACCACACAACTATCATATACTTTACTGAATCACTTCTCTAAGCATTTAGTGAGCATCTTGAAATCAGAAAACTCTGAAACAGGAAGCATGAAAGCACACATTCAGAGTGTTGGTTCTTTGTTTCTTTGTCTAGGAGGGATCTCAGTACTCTTGAAGGAACCCTGAACCTCATTTAAGCTGGCTATAAAATACAATTATTGCTAGAATAAAAACATGAAAAGATACTTAAATGTGTTCTTATCTTTAAATATAAATGTGTGACTGCTTAGAGCTTAGTGTAAGTACAAAGGGAAATTCAAAAATATTTTCTATGAAAGCTAAAATAGGAAACACACTACACAAGTCAATCCCAATTATTAAATACATAAATTAAGTGATTTTGAAAAGTGAAAGTTTTACTTAAAATACTTCTTCAGAAGTTATATTACTGTGATGTCTAAATTTTTAATTTGTTTCAAATTGTGTGCCCATTTCCTCTTATGTACTTGGAAAGATGCACTAAGCAATAAAGGAATTTAAAATTTTTTGTTTAGAATTATCATTGTACAAATATACATAAATATGCATATGGAGAAGAGAAAAAGTCATATAGAAAACAGTAACTATATTCTAGATGTGTGTGTATATATGCAGATATATGTATACACACAAATACTTATATAATTTCAACTATTTTTAACAATTTTCTTTTGGTGACAGGTTTAAAGTGCTTTATAAATACAATAGAAATATCAAAAAAAATTAGAACAAACTTTTTCTTTAATGCAACAGTAAATTAGCAATAGTAGCACTGTTCCCAAGATTATTATAATTTATGTCTAATATGAAAGTGTTAGTTACATGGTTGCAATTTCCATTTCTAACCAAATTCAATTTTGAGTAATATAAGCACATTGTTAAAACATCACTATGTATTGTAAGTTATATGAAAGTACCACTGTTTCTTAGAAGAAAGAAGGGATAATTAAAATCTATAAAATACTAGATGGTTTCCATTCACAATTTAACCAACAATAAAGGATCAGGAGGAGCCTACCTTCCATTGCCCTTTTAAAGAAGACCTTACAGCTCCCACAGGTAAGGACACCATAATGACAGCCTGAGGCTTCATCCCCACAGATTAAACAAATTTTCTGAGGTAATGTCTCGAAGTTGTACTGTGGACTCTGGCTGGCTTCTGAATCCGGCCTTGAAATGCAAAACAAAGAATTTATTTTTAGGAGTGCCACTATCAAATACTAACGGTTTCTTAATCTAGCATTGACAAGGTGAAAGGGACTATGTACACAGAACTGTATATATACATACAAACAAAATTTGGTGAAATGGACTACCTATAGATTCATCAGACTGCCAAATTATTAGCTTTTCATCAATGACACACACACACACACACAAAGAATAATCAATAATAAATGTATAATTTTCTGCTTGGAAAAACTAAGTCCTTTTTTTTTTTCTTTTAAATCTTTCTACAAATTTCCTTATACAGAGCAATTTACTCTTTGACAAATGAAATGTTGTGTGCACTTGCTGTACTATGGGTAACAGTAACATGGTCGTGCTTTAAGAATTCAATCCTACTGATCTAACAATGTTTTTGCTGAGTTTTTAAAACACAACCTGGTAATGACTGTTTACTTAATTAAGTACATGGGTTTGTCATTTTTTTGCCTGCCTATTCAGTCTATAAAACTTCAAAAGGAGCGTTCTTTTTTCTTTTTAATTCTATTACTTCACAGTACAAACCGAAAATGTTTTTGAAAAATTGAATGAAAAAAATCTGCAGGGAATCCGAAACAACATTAGAATACGGGCACTGCAGTGACTGATACGTAAATCCACAGTTTAAGCATATTACACTTAAAAATTAATTTTAATCTCAGCAATACATAAGAAAATCAAGACGTTAAATAAAGCCAAACCCTTAAAATGGTTCTGCTTTCGGTTCTGGCCCGGCACCCTTCATCAAGTAACCCCTCCTGGCAGAACGGTGCCTTAATTCCTCTTCAAGCCAGACATTCCTGGTAAATGTCTTTCTAAGAAATGACGCATTTCATAATGCCCCCAGATCTCAGAGCCCTTTCCGCCCCGCGAGGCTACAGCGGACCTAGGGTGACGCTGCACACTTTAAATCGGGCTTGTCCAGTTGCAGAGATGCGTGTTCCCAAACCAGCATATTCTGAGCCACACTTTTATCCTCCAAAAGAGTGAGGGGACGTGGTGAGAAAGGAGGCAAACTGCCCTAGTGCCCCGCCCCGGACCCCTACCCCCTCAGAGACACCCCAGGGAACAGGAGCCCGGCGCGGCCGGCTGGGGACAGGCGGCGGCGAGCGGGACGGACCACTGCACCTGCGACACGCCTGGACGCGCCCTCCCCCAGGCCCTCACCTCAGGTAGTTGAGATACGGTGGGTAGACCTGCGGCAGGCTCTCTTTGAGCACCGCAGCCTGGTAGCCGAGCTGCGGAAGTCCGTTCAGCCCTAGAGATGGATACAGTGCGGGGGCTGCCCCGGCGGCTGCAGCGGCGGCTGCGGCCGAGGTGGAGGGCAGCCCGTCCCGCGGGTGCAGACAGGCGCCTGCGCCAGGCGCCTTGCAGGGCGGCGTAGTGAACGGACCCTGCTGGGTCGGCGCGCCCTCCGCTTTGTATAGAATGCACTCCAGGGTCGACCCGGACGAGGACACTGAGGAGATGGAGGCACTTGCTGCTGCAGCCGCCACTGCCGTTTCCCCGGGTCTGGACGACGGCGCTCGCAGCGGCTGCAGAGGAGGTGGCGGTGGCGCCAGCGGGAAATCCGGAAAGGTAGCGGCGTTGGCACCGGCCACCAGGTAGGGACGCGGGAGGCGCGTGGCGGCGTCGGCTCCTTCCTCCTCCTCCTTGATCTTTAGCGCGGGATGCTGAAAGTCGCAGTAGAGCGGGAAAGTGTCGTCCTTGGGCTCGACGTCAGGCGGGTACGCGCAGTCGGGGAAGTCGCCGCCGGCGCCCGGCGTGGATAGGGCTGAGGGCGAGCCCCGGGGTGGAGCGAAGGCACTGGAGGCCGCAGCCCCGCCGTCGTAGCTCTCCCCTTCCAGCAACTGCCTGGTGCGGGCTGCCAAGAAGGCCGTGTTGAGCGGCAGGATGGGCACGTGGATGAAATCCATCAGGGTGGTAGCCAGTGGGGAGCGCACGGGAGCCGCCGACCCCTCTTGCTCCGCCAGGGCGACCCTAGGCGCCAAGAAGCGTGAATCTTCCTTGGGGATGAGAACGACGCCCCCGGCGGCCGCCTCAGGAGCAGTGGCCGAGGCTCCTTCGCCGCCGGTTGTGCTTCCCAGAGTCCGAGGTTTGCCCTTCAGAATAGGGCTGGCCGAGCCCTCGGGCTCGGAGCCATCCTCCTCCTCGACCTCCACCGTACGAGGCTGCGGAGACGGCTTCGCTGGGGCCCCGGGCCATTGAGGACCCCCAGGGGTCGGGGGCAGCAGCTGCCGGGACGGCGACGAGTCCCTGTGCATCACCTTGGGATCTGCCACCGTCCCCGAGATGTCACCAACCTTGCCCCCGGGTCGACTCATGAGCGGCGGCAACGCCCCCTGGATGGCTGGGGCAACCCGGGGGTCTTCGGGAAGCTCAGTGCCAAACAGACACCAAGGGCTGGTTGCCTCGCAGGATGAAGGGCTGGCGTGGCTGTGCCCAGGACCAGGGGTCGCCAGCAGTGTGTCCAAGACACTGTCTAACAGCCCACTGTCCTTTTCCGGGAGCCTAGAGCTGCCGTCTCCAGCACCCCGGGCGGGTTCAACTCTAGGATAGTCTTCCTCCGCGTCCGATAGCGACGGCTGGCCTGACGTCTTCGCGTCCGGAGGGTCCTGTCCCTGGCAGAGCCGAGGGAAGAGCAGCCCGTCCAAAGAGATAGGTATGGTCGAGACTACTGGCGGGTCGTCCGAGGTTTGACTCTCCTGGAAGGGGCCAGCGTCCGAGCGACCCAGCAGAGGGGATGCGACCTGGATTGCGGAGGGCGCGCCGCCAGCCACGTGGGGAGCCGGAGGATCCTTTGCCTGCAGCTCAGTCATGGTGACCTGGTCTCCCCTTTTCTCCTCCTCCCCCTCTCTAGGGAGGAGGGAAAGAGGAAGGAGGAGGGGGTGTCGGGAATATAAGAACAAGGGGAGGAGAAAATGGGAGTTAAATTTGGCTAGACCCGGGCGATCTCCACCTCCTGGTTCTCGAGGGGGCGGCGCTGGTCAGCTCCTGCCCTCGCCCTCCATCCTGTTGGCAGAAGTAGGGTGGCTGTCGTTCCGTCCCTGCAGCGAGGGGAATAGCAAAAGAGATGGTAGTTGTAGTGATCTTGCCTTTCAACTGTGAGTTCTTTAAGAGTTCTGAGGACGGAAAATGCAGAGTACCCACAAGTCCTGCACTGGCTTGTCGGCGGCTGGGAAAGCAATTAGACACAGCTCTATCTCCGGACTTTTCTTCTAGCTTCAAACCTGGGCAAGCTGTGTAGCTCCCACTACTTCTCCCCGTCGCATTTCCCTTCTCATTAAAAACCCCGGGACTGCTAGAACCTCTCAATCCAGCTGCATCTCAGAGACAGCCATGCTTCTGCCGGCTCCCTATAGCAGGCGACAATCGTCTTTGCAGCGCTGAGTGCTTGGCAGTACGAAAGCACGAGCAGTCTTTGTACATTCCACCCAAATGCCTAGTGAAGCTAGTGGTCCTCATTGAGAATGCTCCCCACAAACCAGAATCCTCGCAAACTTAATACTATAGGGCTTAAGTCGAGTAGTGACAGCCAATCAGAGACTGGCCCCACAGCTTTCTAACAATGCCTCCTCCCTCTCCCGGATGCCCCGCCCAAGGCCCCTCCCTACACCAATTATGGATCCAGTCTGAAACTGAATTGGGATTCCCACCCACTACTCAGAATTCCATTCTGAATAGCAGGTGCTTTGGGATGCAACCCCATAAGCATATTAGAATTTGTAAAAACCAATTAATTATGCCTTCTCTAACTGGGAAAACGAATGAACTATATGAGAGATAGAGTTTCAGGGATTCAATTTTGTAAAGATTTAACATAGGGGAATAAATCAGATTATATTATTTTTCAGAATAACTGTATCCAGGATAATCCAAAATACTTGAAACTCTCTCCCTGACGACTTTCATAAAAGTGAATGCTTTCAAATTTCTCTTACTACAACCTATGTGCCCTGTTCCTCTTGAACAGTCCTCAGTATAGCAGAGGAATTTGGGATTGAAACATAGTTGATAAAAAGTTTGGATGTTATGTGCCAAATTTTGGTTTGTCTTAAGGAACGCATTCCAATTCTTAATAAACAACAGTTTAATGAGTTTCCTTTAGTTCTAACTTATACATTATGCTACATCATAAGGTCCTCAATGAAAAAACTCACTGCCATAGAATCAGAGATGTTAAATAGTGTTTTCTCCTCTCAGCATTCTTATTCTTAAAAATAATTATCCTTTAGCTTCTTAAAAAGATCATCTCTAAATTCAAGAAAACACAGCATAGAAAGGGAGAGAATATTGCAATACATATTTTAGATACAGAGTCATAAACTATTGGTCTCAAGGCCATTTGGTATCCTGTCAGCATTTTAAATGCACCCTGTTCAAAATGGAATGACTTGGACAATTCCTTGAAAGGATTCAAAATTTTATTTGTGTTGATGCCTCCTCACAGGTTTGAAGCCATGTACAAAGGATACAGTAGAAGACCACAAGATTCCAAGATGTATGGAGGTTCTAGAGGTAAGGGACCTGGATCCCTGAGTCATCTGGGGAAGGGCTATGTGAGTAAGAAACAAACATTTATCATGTTAGGCCACTGGATTTTGCAATTGAGTGTTCCAACGATTGGCTTACCCTGACTAATTTTAGGTAGTATATTGCCTAAAGGCACTTGATTGGTAATCAGAAGGCTGGTGGTTCAAACCCACCAGCCACTCCTTGGAAGGAAGATGGGGCAATCTACTTCCGTAGTAATACTGCCTCGGAAACCCAAGGAGGGGTCGCTATAAGTTGGGTCTGACTCGACGGCACATAACAACAACAGAAATTATCCAGGTAGAGGAGGGATGAAAGGAATTCTGGGAAGCAGAATCTATAGATTTAATTGTGCCTCCCACTCCTCAAAAAAAAAAAAAAAAAAAAGGGAGATCTCTAATTACCAATCCCTGCACTGGTAAATGTGACCTTATTTTGGGAAATGGAGTTTTCTTTGCAGATGTTACCAGTTAAGTTAAAGAAGTCATTGAGGGTACTGTGGGTCCTAATTCTAATCCCTTCTGAGTGAAATCTTGTGAAAGTAAAGAACAGATGTGGAAACAGAGTGACACATAGGGAAAGACTGATGCCATATGATAACAGAGACAGATGCATCTATAAGCAGCAATGAAAGGCGAAGGTGTGCCTGCAGCCACCAGAAACAAAGGCATGGGACACCTCCTCTCAGAAGAAACTGACACCTCTAGTACCCTGATTTGTACTTAGCCTCCAGAACTGTGAGAAAATTCATTTCTGTTCTTTAAAGCCACCCATGTTTGGCATTTTGTTATGGCAGATCTAGGAAACTAAGACGCAGATATAGTATGTTCACAGGGCACCAGATAGCAGGACATATGGGAACTGCAAGAAGGTCATTATGGATAGAGCATGGGATAAATGTGTGGATGGAAGGAGGTGAAGCCATAAAGGTGAACCCAAACTTGCTGCTGTACAGTCCATTCCAACTCAGAGAGACCCCCGTTGTGTTTCCAAGGTGCTAAATCTTTACAGAAGTAGATTACCCAGTCTCAGGTCTGCAGAATGGCTGGTGAGTTTGAACCCCCAATCTTCTGGTTAGCAGTCAGATACCTTAGGTACTATGCTACCAGAACTCCATAGAGGTGAAGAAACTTATTTTTGTTAATACTGTTGTTATTACCTTCAGGCTTTACTTTTTCCAGTCCATCTAAAAACATTTAGCATATTTTATTGGTATACAATTCACACACCATACAATTTACCCATTTGTTGTTGTTGTTGTTGTTAAGTGCCATCGAGTCATTTCCGACTCATAGCGACCCCATGCACAGCAGAATGAAACAGTGCCCGATCCCATGCCAGCCCCACAATCCCTGCTATACTTGAGCCCATCATCGCAGCCACCATATCAATCCATCTCCTTGAAGGCCTCCCCCTCTTTCGTCGACCCTCCACCCTACCAAGCATGACATCCTTCTCCAGGGAAT